TGATTATTCTTCCCCGCCCTCCCCCCTTCCCAGTCTGCCCAGCAGGGAATGTTTATCACCCATAACTCAGTGTTTATCAGCCCATTAAGAAAATAAAGCTTCTCTCCAAGCTCTTCTTAAACAACTTTTCCAAGGAAGGACATTAAGCTACCTGTTGATTAGCTCCAAAAAGCCTGTTTGCCTTTATTGCCTCACATAGCCAGCACGTGGTCTGCTAGCTAATGCTGAGGTGTCTGTGTAAGGCAAAGGGGTGGGGGGAATAATCTCTGCTTACCAGGGAAAAGCCAGGCAGATGCTCTGTGCCTGCAAGTCTCTGCCGGAGCTGCAGCCAGAGACCAGAAGGGAGGAGCCATCCCTGCTGTGGAGTAGAGAGCCCTACCCAGCCCAGAGACCATGCTGGGATGCTGGGGGTGTCTGGTTTATCTTAAATCAGGAAGGGGTCTGGGACAGACGTTGCATAAACTGATACTATCTTCAACCAGGTTTATCTCAAACTGGTTTCAGCTATTTTCAGACTCGCTTATGGGCACTGAACATCTGTTCTGTTACACGTTTAAACCATTTTCTGATCATGTAAACTGGTTTATGTGTAATGTCAGTCCCTAGCTTTGGTGAAATGCCCACTCTTTTGTTTTAATGGTAGAGCTGTCAAAGGCTGGCAGCACAGAGGTTTCATGATGGAAGGTTAGAATGCACTTGGCCCATTTACACCCATATTTATTTGTCTCTATTCTTGGATGAAGAACCCACAACCCAGTGGGCAGTGCCACCACTATGGTGAAAATCTAGTCCTCCACCACTGCAAGAGGGTAAAAGGTCCTTTGTAGAAATTCTTGCTTTTACAAAGATGGTTTGTACACTTTTGTGTCTCTTGCCTATGGGATTATGAACATAACAGGAGCCCTCAGTTAGTACAGAAACAGAGATGCCTCTCAGGTGGGGCTGGGTCATTGCTCTGCTCCAGCAAAGTTGTTCAGCACTTGCTAAGGGGAAGGATTAAGAGATGGTGAGTATGTCCCCACTATACCCTTCCAGAGAGATTGCTTTCTAGCACGCTCTGCCTTCTTACTCCTACTCTGCCCACTCCAAACTCCTGCACACTAGGGGTACTGTCCCCCTTCCAGTGCTTTGAAGGTCTCTATCTCTTGCATGCCTAGCATGTGTCCTTAGTGTGGCTTCACTTCTTCCTTCCTGGGTGTGGGGTGTGTGAAGTAAGAAGTGGGTAGGCAATACCTGAGAGTGGTGCCCTCAAGAGTGCTGGGAAAGTGGTATAGACTTATCCAGCATGTGCTTGAGGTTGTCTCATTCACCAGGATTTAGGAGGTGGGGTTCCACCCCAAGCTCTTCCACCGATTTCTCTCTGAGGCCTTGGGCAAATCGCTTTGTCTCTGTGGGTTCCTTTCCCTTCCAGCCCTTTGTCTGTCCTGTCTGTTTAGATTGTGAGCCACTGGAACAGAAGTTGGCTCTTACTATATGTTTTGGCAATATCTACCACAGTGGGGTCCTGACTTCTCTTGGTGCCATTATGCATGACTGTAATACTAGTAGTTAATGATAAAAAAGGAAGAGGCAAAAGCTACCAGGGGAACATTTAATTGGGCCAAATGAAATTTCTCTAGTGGGAAGCTGGCCAGAACATTAGAGTTAGTTAATATTGCGATGGGAAGTGTGAGCCTGAAGTTGAAGGTGGCAAAACGTAATCCTGGGTCCAGCCCAAGTTTGTTCTGAGCCTCTGGTGCAGAAGGTAGATGACTGTAGTTCACAGGTTGGAAACCTGCCACTTGTTTTGTTTTTTCTTTTTTTTTATATATGTGCGAGTTTGTTTATAACACTCAATACGGAGGAGTGTAACGTTCAGGCTGGAGAGCTAATGTTGCTCTTTTTGGATTGAGTCAAACGCAGAGGCCAGGTTTACAGTGAGTATCCAGCAGTGGTGCCCCACTGATTGATATCAGCAGGGATCTGGCCCTCAGACTATGAAGACAAACGTTAAAGAAATTATTGAAGAAATTGACATTATTTCTCCATTTTTTCCTTCCTCCAGGGCAGCCATTGAGGCTCTGGCAGCTTTGCTGAAATCGAGTAAGTTTTTTCTCTTTTTATTCTTATAGACTTTCCTTTCTGTGCTGTCTGCCTACATAGGAGCCCAGTCCCACTTCCCTTTCACTTAACCTCACACCCCTTGAGCGCTCTGCTCAGAAACGGGAGGGGATGACATGCCATACATGTTCTGCCATGTTTCCTAGACCCTATACCTCTGTGCTGATGCAGGTAGGAGATCACAATCTAGAGACGAGGCAGCAAACTATTTAAGGGGATGGGCAGATGCAACTCTTATACAGGGTTGAAATTATATTGGTGTTCTTTGTAACTGTTATGTTTCTCCATTCCTATACTGGTGTAATTGGAGCTAAACTGCTGTACAATTTAGCTCTTTCATACAGTGATTTGGTTCAGTTATATAAAGAATGGATAAATACAATGCTTAAATCAGAACTGCTGAAACATTCTCCCAAGTAGCAAATCCCCTGTCCCCTTTTAAAATAGTTTCAAGCAGGTGTGTGAAACATGGCCTCTAACTGCTCCATTCGGCCTGCCGGGCTGCTGGCAGGGGAGGGAATTTGGGGACTTTCTGACTGAGGGTGGTTCAGCATCAGAATAGGCTGCCTAGAGAAACTGTGACATCTCCACCCTTGGAAGTTTCCAGGAGCAGATTAAACAGACATTTGGCTGGGGTGGTTTAGTCGGGGATGATTCTGCCTTGAGCAGGAGGATGGGCTAGAGGAATTTATGAAGTCCCTCCTGGTCCTATGGGAAGCGAGTCCTGCTGCATGCTCCAGGGGGTGGCAAGGGAGTCCCATTTACCTTGTGGCCACCTGCCCCGTTGCTACTTGTCCCTCTCCCCCACCACCACTTGTGCTGCCTCTGCCGCAGCGCACAACCAGTTGGCCTGTAGCTGATGACCTTGCCTATGCCTCTGTGGCAGACCCTGCCCTGCCCCTCTGCAGTTGCTGCTTGCCCCATGGATCCAATCTGCAAGGAGCCCCATGATCTGTGTCTGGCCTGGGGTGTGAGGTGAGTCTGACATCCTCAGCACCAAGTGATGTCTGTCTGCAGCCCTGGTACTGTTACTTGTTCTGAGCATCAGGAGAGGCCTGGAGAAGACTTGGGCTTCTTACCAAGTTGGCCACTTCTACCCTATTCTCCCATATTCCCCTGTACAAGCAGATTTGATCCTTACTCATGGTTCAAGCCCTGTGGATCCTAAAGCCAGTCTTGGCAAGTAGCGATTGGCTACACCAAAGCAAAGCTATGGCAGGGAGCGTCTAACCCTTTCAGTATCTGTTATCATGGGACCCAGCCCACAACACTGAATGGATCTAGGTCATGCCATGACAAGACATGCAAAACCTTCCAACAATATCTCCAGTATGGAGGTATCTTCACAGTATAATACATATGGGCACCAAGTGGCCTGATGGAAAATACGTGGAGACACCAAACAGTAACTGTGCCCCAGAATGAGCGCACACCAAAAATCTATCAAAGACAAGAACACCCGACTACCTGTCTCCAATCTCTCAGGCCTGATCCTCAAAGGGAGGACTCCTGGGTCCCTAGCTCAAAGGGCACCCAAACCCACCTTCCAAGACACAGACTCCTGGCTTGCATGTTCTTAAAGTGAACGCTTTACCCTTTTCTGCCTTTATCCCATCCAAGAGCACTTAGCTTTTTATTACCCGAATTTAATAAAGCTTTGATTAAGAAAGAGTGCTCTACTATTGCAGACAATCTCCTCTACAATAAATCATAGTGGTGTATTGTCCTCTCTCTCTCTCACTCTCTCCTCCGCCCCCCCGCTCGCTGTTCTCCTCCCTTCTTCCCTCCCCCCCCCTTTTCATGAGCATTAGAAATAAATGCATTTGTGAAAAATTGTAGCCCTGGAAGCGGTACTTAAACGAGCAGGCTGCAATGGGATCATGTCTGAGTCGCACCAGCTCGAGTGATGAATTCTCAAATAATGCTCTGGTATTAACCTTACTGCCCAGATTTAAAGGTCATATTATTGCAACAAGGAAACACCTTCTGGTTCAGGCACTAAATCTTAATAAGGGGGTGGTGGGGCTACTCCAGAGCTGCCTTCCACTTAAAAGCAAAATTAGCATTTAGAAAAGGTGAAGCGCACAGAAAGGAGCGAGGACAGGCAGCAAGCTCAGGAGGCGGCAGAAGCATCTTGATGGTGCTCCTGCTTTAGAAGCAGCACCAGGTAAATCAGGTGGGATCCTGCTGTCCAAAGGTTGTTGATGGGACCAATCTTTCTGCTCCAAGTGTGGGGCAGTTGGCTGTGGAGAATTGTTCTCGGAGGGAAGTGGTGGGAAATCGCTTCATTGCTTGGGGGATTTTAAAATCGGACTGGGTCAGTTGTTGGCCATAGAAAGAACACAGCCCTGGGGGAGCTGGGGATGGGCCTGGGAGTCTAGCAGGGCTGTCTCAGCAATGATTGCTGGCTCCACAGCTCACAGTAACTCCAGATCAGCTTTCAAGTCATTCTACATTAACTTCTTGCCAGAAGGAAATCTTTTTTTGTGCATGTCCATTCTCAGCTCACCTTGAGTTGTGGTTGCTCCCTTCCATGACTTTTCTGCTGCGGAGCATGTGCACACTGGAGTTGCAAACCTGAAACCAGCCCACTGGTTACCCAAATCAGATGCTGCCAGAGAAGAAACTGAAATGAGCTGTAATGTGACCAATCTACTGTGCAAAATGGTCTGTAAGAAATCAAATCTCACATGGGTGATCAGTACATGGTCCAGATTAGCATTCTTATTCTGTCTTGGAGTAGACCGTGTCTGAATAGGGAGAGGAGCTGTGGAGAACTCGTCTGTCTTTGGTCTCATGTGGAGGACCTCCATTCCTATTTGTTATTGCCAATACAGATGTGGCAGTGCCAGCACTATCAGTGACATGGAAAAGTGTCATTAGGAAAGCATATCGTCTGTTTTTAGCTGGTTTTTAAAGTACTACCTGACTGGAATCAAGGAGGGGACCTCACGTTCCTGTGAGCAGGCGTCTCTTCGCAGACCACTGGCACATGCTTTATAGCTTATCAATTTGTCCACAGTTTAAGGGTCATTGTGCGAGATCGTGATTTGGGTTCGTCCACATGCATAGCGTCTTTGAATGGTAATGAGGCTGTGAGCGGAGAGGAAATGTCTTTGAGCATGTGCTTGGAAAATGCTGGTGAAGACAAAGGGCAAAATCAAACGGGGCTGATGTTGTGAAAACAATCTGCATGGTTCAGAGGCGCGTTCAGCTGTACGAGGGTGGAAATTTTGGTGCTGGGCACAGAAACGACAATATGAGCCACCACCTGCATTGTTCTGGGCACTGGAAAAGTGGCTTGCCTGTGCCCCGGTAGTGGGATTTGATCCTGCCAGGAGTGAGGAGGAGAGCACCTGTCATGCAGAGGGACCAGAAAGCATCCAGGCTCAGAGGTCCTCCTGCAGGGTAACATGAGCACTTCACATCACTCCCAGTGGAGGCGTTAGCTTACTGGTCACATATTAGGTTTGGAAAGGATATCGGAGGGAGGGAACCTGTTTCTGCGTCTGGCCCACAATTGCAATGGGGAAGGCATCTACTATAGTTTTAACTGAAGCTGGCAGCTGTCAATTATGGCAATGTTTCTCCCTTATGTCTTTACACTGATCCATCACCCTGCCCCTTAGGCTTCCTCCAGTCCTCGCAGATACTTTGGTCACCTGCACAGCCAAGGGCTATCTGTAAGCTTCTGTCTCTGGCTTGAGTCTTGCCTCTTTCTTGCCAAACAGAAGCTGACACAAAAGGCCTGCATGGTGCCGGTCAGTGCTGGGGAACTGCTAGGGTGGTGAATGCGAGGAGCAGGGTCTGTCTGAGAGCTGCTCAGGGCAGACGGCAGCGATGTAATCAGAAATTAGCAGCCTGTCATTAGCTGGTAAATTTTCCTGCCTGGTGAGTGTCTGGCTGAGAGGAGAAGATGCCAGGTTTGCCAACAAAATAGCTGCTGGGATATTACAGTAAGTGTCTCCTAGGATTTTTGATGAGCTGCATCCTCTGCTAGGAAAGGACTGGAATGATAATTTCTACCCAGCTGCAGCGCACTGCCCTCTTCACGCCCCCGCACGAACAGGACACGGTCCTCAAGCACGCTCGCAAAGGATGGGCTCCGCTGCACAGCCAAGTAAAGCACCTCACCAAAAGTCACATGCTGAGCCGGAGAAAGAGGTGGAAACAACTCTGATCTGCCTCCCAGTGTCATACCACACCCCGAAGGCAACCAGCATCCCCTGGTATTACTGCACTGGCTTTTTTCCCCTTTGGAGACTCAGTGTCATATCCTGTCTTAATTATGTCACACGTGATGAGACTAGCAATCTCAGAAGAGGCATCTCTGGGCCCTTTCTTTGGTCAGAAGAAGCCCGGGTCTCCAATAGCTGGGGGGTGGGTTGCAATTAGGCTTGCCGACTCTGACTGAAACTGTTCTGGGAGATTTTATTTTTTCAAGATGATGTTATGTCATTAATTGTCCTGTTCAGCCCCTTTCACAGTATCAATCTCCCGGATTGCTTTCAGTAGTCATTGGGAGATCGATGCCGATTCCGGTAGACTCCCAGCCAACCCAGGAGGGCTGGCAACCCTCGCTGCAATTCAAGCTGGAAGTCGATACACAGCAGGGGAGAGGGAAGCTTCCACAACCACTGGTATGACACCTCTGTGATCCTCTTGCTTTTCTCAACACCAAATCGATACCAAAAGCAATAGTACAAAATCAGGGGGGTTTTTTGGAGGAGAGGGTGAGATAAACCACTAGGTTGTTGAAATCAGGATAAACATCTATGTAGCAGGGTCTGAGGGGTTAAACCTGAACTTTCCTGCTTGCCCTGGCCCTGTGACACTACAAGCCAGCTGGTTCGCTCCAGCACCACATGGTGGTGCTCTTATTATAGCTATCCCAGGTCCCACCACTGCTTAATCCAATATTTATTTTTGGTGAGTAATTTGTTTATCAGCAGGTTATTTTAATCTAATGTTGGTCATATTTG